GATCTTGAAGAGTAGCACCTGAAAGACGGAGGTCTGATGGCAACTCTGGTTCAGTTGCCTTACCCGTCCATTGGAGAAAATTCCGCATAGGATATGACAACTGTTCCGGCCTAAATGTCTGTGTTGCGTGGACTTCTGCCAATATCGACCGACAAGTACTTTAAGGTTTCTGGCCCTGAGCCACTTGCTGCGATCTGCGTGGATGGATTAGTTCACTACGCTGAAAGAGATTTCAGCATACAGCGATGAAATTAACCCCACATACTCAACTTCCTATGAGCAATGGAAGCAGTATGAAATGCATCCAAGGTTGGCTCACTTGGCTGTAACGCCAACAGCTTACAGAAATGGTGTTCAGTTTAACTCGCAGCAGCTGTGCGCTACCGACTCAACTATAATCCTCCTCGTATGAGTTATTAACTCGGTTAAAAATTTTTAGATTTTAACAAAAAGAGCTCATAAACTTCTCTACTTCCATTGTACAATGACTGAAGCCGCGTTTCCCCGTTTTATCTCCAAAGGCAACCGCTGCCGCAGAAACTTATGCGAGCAAATATGTATCACCCTTACGTTGCGTAGCGGTTTATTGATTTCCGCGTTATAGTCGAACTGTAACTCAAACATACAGTAGATTCCAAATTGTAGTTTAACATAACTAATAAAATGTCACTAATATCTTCACCTGCCATTCTATACGTAAAATGTACTTATGTTCCGGGTACTTAAAACGCACCTTAATACGCCCGAAACCCGATCTATTAGTCATTTTACTGCCTATAATTTTTAAATTTTTTCATTGAATTTTCAGAGTTCCTGGCGCAAATCAAATCTATCAGATCTATCTCTTTAATAGATGTGAGTTTGGCCTAAATCAAAATCAGCGTGTATTAACTCACCGTCGGAGGATAAAGCTGTCCCAATCTTTCTTGCTGCAAACTGGATTAAAATTTATAAGCGATCTCACTAAAATCCCCGAAACAGCGGAGCTGATACACTGAGCTGGGTCATTAGTAGATCGAGATTCACATTGGAAGAGGAACAGATCATAGAAGCATAGAAGTATGATGTTCGCAATTATGGCCGCGCGTTAGTCTACAAGAGTACCGTTATATAGCGCAATAGACTGCACGCTGTACACGGAGTCCTATACTCTGCACCAGTTAACAAAATGTTAGAAAAATACTTATTGAAAACTTGGAAAAAGCAGCGCATGTAGTTTCTGGATCGCCATGACATCGCCATAGCAACCTATCGCATGTCGTTCTTCAGGCTTCCTATTATTTCGTCCACCATTCATTTTGTCCACCACTCATTTTGTCCACCATTCATTTTGTCCACCATGAATGGTGGACAAAATGAATAGACACGGCTTCGATTTACATAGTAGTATACGTACTTGCAGATGCAAGGAATTAGATGCGCGCTACATCATGTGCGTAAATCGAACTCATCTGTATTGCTTGCCTACTGTCTGCTTATTAACCCGCTCAATTTGGAGACGCATAAACAGCTGCGCAGTACTGGGTACGTTATCAGTATTACGTGCAAATATGCCAAATAACCGCAACGTATATTATTGTTGTAGCAAGGGCATGCGAACAGCGAACTGAAATCACAGTTACGATTACTAATGATATACGGATTACGTGTGTATACAATCTCATACAAAGTATTATATTTATCGGATTGCTACGCGCATCTCACTTGTCAGTTTATTAAATTCATTTCACACTAGCTTTGTCTTATAGAAAATAAAAATAACGTACTCTATGAATTGTATAGTGGACAAAATGAATGGTGGACAAAATAAATGGTGGACAAAACGAATAGTGGACAAAATGAATGGTGGACAAAATGAATGGTGGACAAAATGAATAGACACGGTTCAAAATCGCATGCCATTCGAAATTACCTCTTGATACGTTTAAACTAAGGAAGTACGTACACTGATTTTAGGCGTTAGAAATGTGAACGGAAACGTCCACTGGGAAGTGGCACGCTAACTACAGTACTGTTGCAATACTTCATAGTTATATCAGTAATACATTAGTGAATATACTCGTATATTGCGCAATGCCTTTAAGGCTTCGATTAAATGCCGTCAGGAGTGCGGAACTTATCATTAAATTTTCAACAAGCAGCAGCCGGAAAATAATAAAAACGTGTACCAGCAGTGATAAGCTTCCACTGAAAATAGGTCATAATATCAATACAAGTGCATATTGTGGAATTAAGCATATGCGAAACAAACAGTTTCTTATGCACTCAGCGCAATATTATTACTATTATTATTATCTCTCTCTGAAGTCATGCGACTGTGGCAATGGCATTGCATCGATTGTATCTGGTAAACGACATTATTTAAATTTATTTTTTCTGGTCGTAAAAATGAAAAAAAATAAGCAAAAACGTAAAACGCGGAAACCGCTCCATAACCAACCCTTCAAAGTCAAAGTAACTTTAGTATTTCTTATTTGACTCTCATTTTTGCAACCGGCGGAAGTGACAAGCAAAATACTATTGCTGTAAATTAATTTTAAGAAGTGAAATCAAGCCATTGGATAACTGTAACGGGGTATGATGGTGGATCTAGGAAGAATCCACGGACAGAGACAGAAACGGAATCTATCCTGCAGAGTGAGCAGTGTTGTATACTACGAGTTATGCGGAAACGCAAGACACCCGACAATCAACTGCACACTTTATCCCATTCACATGACACTACAGAAGCTCCCGCAGCAGAATTGCTGCGGGGCTAAAAGAACAGCAGGTTACTCAGACGACGATGGCTAGCAACTGAAGAATCTACCAGATCGAAGAGCTGGTAGATGGAGAAAATCACTAGCAAAAACAGCAAAACAACTTAGCACCCGCACCTGTGCGGGCGTACGGGGAGGCCACTCCTCCTCACATGCCTGCGGGTGGAACCCGTGAGGTCCTCCGAGCGTATCGCGCGGCGTCGCGAACTCCCCTCCACGTCTTCCCGGGTTGAAGTCATGGGTGGCCGCTGGGGCTGTAAACCTCCGCTCACCAGTCCACATAGCCGATGCGCATCCTTCACACTGCAGACACGGCCTCGTGCCTGCGGTACTGGAAAAACTGACACATACACTTTCGTTTCACTTTTTTCGCACCTTCGCTTCGGATTCGTTTCATTTCTGTATCCTCTGACGTCACCGGTGCCTGCGGTACTGGAAAGACGTCACATACGGCTTGCTTCACATCGGTTTACGGTACACTTCGGTTCGGCTCGGTTCACGGTTCGCTTCGGTTTTGGATCCAGTCCGCTCTGACCTCTTTAACCTTGTCTGGGTCGACGCACTGGCTGCGACGAAATTTACGACTGCGACGACGTCCAACCCGGAACTGGGCAAATTCCAATTTTCTTCAGTCGGAAAAGGTCACGTTCTGAGAAAAATCGGGCAGGGGTTTGGGGCACTGGTACACTGGTGACCCTGCAAACACCAAAATACGCTTCTTCAGTGGGGAAATTCCGCTGCATCCGTCCAGGAAAGGTCGTCTTCCCAGCAAAATCGGGCAGGGGGTTGGGGCAAAATGACACTGGTGACCCTGCGGAGCAGCTCACTGCATCGTCTTTGGTGGCAGGGTTCACGTGGGCTTCAGTGGATGGCAGTCCTTGAGCTGCTGTGGACTGGAGTTGGCGTAGTCGTCGCTGGCTGGCTGCTGACATTCTTGTTGTGCGATATCCACGGTACACCAGTCCGTTACTGGTGGAAATCGCTGTGACGGTATCCTTATAACCGTTCCATCTTCTTTTCGCGATGACGGCATCCGTATAGCCGTTCCCTTGTTCCATCTTCTTTTCGCGATCCATCTTCTTTTCGCGATGACGGCATCCGTATAGCCGTTCCCTTTTGCTGCTGCTACTGCGGTATCCTTATAACCGCTTAAACGATTAAAAATGGTCCCAATGGATAAACGACACGCTCTGCTACCATATGATGGTGGATCTAGGAAGAATCCACGGACAGAGACAGAAACGGAATCTATCCTGCAGAGTGAGCAGTGTTGTATACTACGAGTTATGCGGAAACGCAAGACACCCGACAATCAACTGCACACTTTATCCCATTCACATGACACTACAGAAGCTCCCGCAGCAGAATTGCTGCGGGGCTAAAAGAACAGCAGGTTACTCAGACGACGATGGCTAGCAACTGAAGAATCTACCAGATCGAAGAGCTGGTAGATGGAGAAAATCACTAGCAAAAACAGCAAAACAACTTAGCACCCGCACCTGTGCGGGCGTACGGGGAGGCCACTCCTCCTCACAGGGGTTTTGTAAAAAAGTACAAACCGCATCGTGCTGTCCAGCTCGCTACAGCGAGAATTTAAAAAACGTTAAAGAAATCCAAACCCACCATTGTGCGGGACCGTAGCTGGAAGCTGCAGTGCGATGTAAATAGTCACAAATAAATCGCGCGAAGGACAGTGTGGTCAACGCCACTTGTCACTGCTACCACTGCACGGTGCAGTGGTAGAAGTGATTAGTAACCAGAAAATAGCAATATTTGGCTGTCTGACCTGGTTACCCTTATGCCACAGCAGTCATTTGGCCTTATAGGTCAGCTGTAATGCTTAGAGACAATTGGTACAATTGGAGTACTCGTATACCAGATCACAGTTTTCTGTCTGACCAGATGTATGACGCCTGATTTTTGCTGAACGCCTCTCAGTAAGAAGGTCTTTTACACGGATGTGTATTCTCTTGTACGTTGTAGGGTTCTGCAATGACTCTAAGTGCAAATGGGCTTTAGGTGGGATTTGTCCGCTTGCTTTTATCGGATACTGTGGCTCTTTCTTTTATCAGTATCATACCACTGATTTGACCGCTGTTCAAATTTGCTTCAGACGTTGCCATCGAAACGATTTTAGATTATTAAAGTTTCTCGAATTTCTTTAGTGTAGAACGGACGTCTCCGCATTGCCATGAAATGGGTGCCCAGACGTCGTCACCATACACTCCGCCGAGCCGAGAAATGGGTTTTATGAATTTTGTGATTGTTAAGCGGGAGAATGATGACTGGTGGCTGGGCCGCATCAAGGACATTGAAGGCAAGAAATTCCTCGTCGATTTCATGTCCGCCTCAGTAGCCGCGGAATGGATACATTCCCGCCATATTTGGCCCTACAGGGAAGTCTCACACTTATTCCGCCAGCCGCAAAAAACTGCGGATTTCCCAGCTGCCTTACCAGTAGCACAGGTTGCCACCCGTGACATCGCCCACAGTCCCTACGTGATTCGTCCTGGCCACCTGCTGTGGGTACCCCACTGCTTTTATTTTTTTCCACTGCACAATCGCGTCGACGAAGCCGGTACCGTCCGATGCAACGTAGTACATCGCTACCAGATCATCTATCTTCCGCACCCCAATGAGCCACCTTTCCACGAGAAGTCTTGTGGTATAGTCTGGACCAAGCATGTTCTTCCCTTCCGTAGAGCGGACTGGATACAGACTGGTGACCTTCACAAACTTAAATCCTGCGTTGAGTACTCCTTTAACCAATTAGTAGGTCATTGGGCGCACGTGGCGCCAGTGACTCCAATCCATTTGGTGTATATACGAGCCGATAACGATACCGTAACTTTTATCTATTACGAGCGGTACCAGTACACACGCACACACGGAAGCTTAGTTCGAGAAGACAAGGTATTGCTGCAGGACGGCCTTGATCGATTCCGGGATATTTATCTCACCGGGATTACCATAGTACACTTACCAACCGATAGCACACTGCCTGTTCCGCTTGAGACAAGTAAGTGCGGATTAGAGAACGTTGTCGATTTTTTACCAGTTGTAAATTGATGACCTATCTGACGATTTGATGGTGGGTAAAACGGTACAATACAAATTACCCAACTGTAGATTACAGAATACAGAGCCATCACAACGGCTTGATTAATCACCACGCGTTGGCCATCGTGTCCAGTAACTTTGCTCTACTTGCCTGCATGCAGAAGTTAAAGCTGTGATTCGGCCACGGCTGTTAAGATAAAAGTTTGTAATAGTAACTATTTTAAAGTGGGACGCAACGCGTATTTTGTAGGCTGCATTCACGATCTTCCAATCCATCTTGTGGAAGACATCTTCCGGCTTCTGGACGTGCTTTCCCAGTTTGCGGCAAGACAGTGAGTAAACAATAACCGGCTCTACCAAGAAAATTGGTGTTTCCTACAGTTGATAAAAAAAAGTGGTGTTTCCTACAGTTAAAAAACTGAAGGACACAAATTAAGAACAGAAAAACAATTTGCCGAATAAGCTTTGTTGCAAATTTCAGGGTCTGTTCATTCTGGCGCGCGCTTTTGGATGCTCCCGCTATTAAGCGAGACGTTATTGTGGAAGCGCCAAGAATCCTGTTCGACATACCCCTGGATACGATCCCCGTAGAGGATGAACGACGCGCCTACAAATTCGCCGTGCTGTTGGAAAACTCCACCACAATCCAAACGCGGACTCTCGTCTGCTGTTCCACACTATGGACATCCTCGGCATTGGCACGAATCATCGTACACATGCTGCGCCTTAAGGAAATTGTAGTGGACGTGCTGGTCATTAAAGGCGGCGATATGGTGCCGCTGTACATTTCGTTTACCACGGGAACACCGACAAGTTACGAGTGTACATGTCCCATTTTAGCGAAGTACCTCCCGGTGTGTCGGCAGCTGATCGTGGTCGACCTGAAGTTCGAATGTATACTACAGGACAAGCAATCACCGAATCGGAGTTTTCTCGATTCACTCTATGAAAAAATGGGCATTCGCTATTATTCACGTCATACAAGCCATCTGAGTTGGCCATTGCACAATTTGACCGTATCATGTGGCGTTTCGGGAGGACAGCTGGTTCAAACTATTTTGCTAGCAATGGAGAATGCTTGTTTGCCGGCTAAACAGACAGTTGTGGACAAATTCACAGCTACTTATGCACGAATGGTGCGGGTTTTGAAATATCCCAAAGACTGGGATTTTGTCCGGATCATTTTGCAAGTGTACGTGAAGATAGTAATTATTAACTACTTAACAAATACTTATTAACTACTTAACAATAAAAGTACTTAACGCTAATGGACATTAATACTACTAATTTTGCACCAAGTTGTAGCAATTGCTAAAATTACTTATCGTTGATATGATGGGTAATGCAGAGTTAAAAATTCGGAAATCGTCCAGTCGGTCTGCGATTTAAAAATTGAATAGTAAATCAGTAAATAATATCCTGTGCGAATAAATCATAAGTGTTTGTATTGTATTATTTTGTTTTGTTAAGTACTTTAATTAACTAGTTCGTAAAAAGTATTAATTACTATAATATGTGCATAAAACCCCGTGCCATTCTGCAGGTACAACGAATTTCAGCCGGATGGGTCAGCTGACAAGTGGAGCGGTGTTGATCCGCGGGAACTGAAGGTTTCCAGTTTCACCAAACTGACAATTCATGCTCTCATTCCATATTGATCTGCAGTAATTACAGTTTCCGAATTCCATGATTAATAACTTTTAGATTCAACCGTTCACAAAGGCACCACTTTTTATATGTATATGATTACATAATTTTTATATGTATGCTAGTATTTGTTACGTGAAAGCAGGTAATGCACTGGTAAATCATTTACTACGGTAACACAGAAGTGGGCAATTTGGAAGTAGGCCGTACTGGCTGGCTGTACTGTTCAGATGTTTTTTTTTTGTTTCGCTATCGAATTCAAATAAATTTCTTTAGGAATAAAGCGTCGTCGTTAAAAACCGAATACGCTACACCGCTAAATGGTAATACGTATAAGTTCCATTGGATCGTGGTGTAGCTGTTTAATATTGGACGTAGCTGGGGCATTGCCAAAATTCGTGTCCATTCATTTTGGCCACCATTCATTTTGGCCACCATTCGTTTTGGCCACCATTCATTTCGGCCACCACTGATTTGGTTACCGCGTTCGATTTTCAGCTAATATTTACTTACTTTGTGATACTTTTCTTAGGTTATTCTTAGGTTATTCTTAGGTTTTCTTAGGTTTCTTAGGTTTTCTTACCCTAGGTTTTCTGATGTGTTTACTGTTCTAGGTTATTAGATTTACTTGTTTTTTCTTATGTTCTCTTATGTTTATTTTTAGTGTGTTTTACTAATTAAGAAACATTGCTGGATCACAGGCTCGCAAACTTGCATTAGCGTAGTGAATGCATGTACCCGGTATAAGCTGAAAATCGAACGCGGTAATTAAAATCAGTGGTGGCCAAAATGAATGGTGGCCGAAATGAATGGTGGCCAAAATGAATGGTGGCCAAAATGATAGGGCGCCCCAAAATTTGGGGAGTTAACTCCGATCGTGCGTAAGACATAAGCCTACATTTACAGTTTACACCCCGTGCGCCCTCTTGCTGCGTAGACAAAGTAACACTGTTAAACTATCTATTACGGTAAATTTATCCTCTTTTGTATTGCAATACGAATACCTGCTGAAGTTTGTCGCTGTGCCTACGGCCCTACAGGACGCAGTTTGTAGTCAAACAAAATTCACTAAAGCTGCTGAATAATGCTTGTGTATCTTGCCTTTTCAACACTGTGTAAATCGCAATTTGCTTTTTAAAACCAACCGTTACCCACATTTTCTATGCGCCTGCTGTACAAAAAGCGACATGCTATTACCATTCGCTAATTTTTACTATTCCCATAAATCATAAGCATTTTAACTGCCTGCACTTCGTTGAATAGCAGAGTAAATAACTGAAACGCAACATACAGACTGACCTTTCCCGTTAAAGACCGTCGATAAGGCGACACTTTGATCGTCAACACCGCGGTCAGAAACGGGACTGGCCCAGGAAAATATGATGCGTATGATACATACATTTATTTACAATGAAATAACTGACGCTAGACTGGAGATTGGAATTCCGATCGTAAGGTACGATATCATGTCAGATGCGGTAAATACATTTTCCGCTGTAAGCAATATTGCAAATCCTAATAACCTTCCTGTATTTAGTCAGTCGGTGAGGTCGACGAGTAAAGGTAAACATATACCTACAGTATTGCAGCAAACGTTTTTTCTATTTTTCGAACCAATTTTTTCTTTTCACTTCAACAACAACACACACCTTTAGTTGTCAAGCCTATTAACACGTAATGTGTGAAATGAAAGGAAAACAAGAAAGCTGGAGTTTAGACACACGACAGTGGCGTGATGTACAGATACAGTACTGAGAAACTCTGAACGGTTGTTATGTGAAGGACGAACGGGGGAGACCGGAAGAATATGGGAAGCCGTTGGATACGAAACTTATCGTGCACAGGACATGGTTTTCTGGATGAAGCACAGGCGTATTTTATCCGTGTTTCCTTATGTTTCAAATAAAGAAAATATTAAGCTCAACAATTCTCGAACGGATCTGCCAAATTCGTTACGGTGACAACTCTCCTGCTTCCCCATGCTTCGATTTTGGCTGCCGATCCAAAGGGCACAGACTATAGGATCAGGAGTTAATGCCAAACTACAGCACTTCGAAAAATTAGCATTACGCGACAGATCTGGGCGTGTTATGGACTGGAACCTTAATTGCGCGGATTATTGTGCAATTATTTACCCGTAACTATAAAGATTATTCTAAAATTATAGATTATAGTAATTGTGCTTAACACTTACTGCTCATCAAAAGAGGTCGTCGAAGTGCGATCGTGGGTATGGCGCCATCAGACCGTTCAATAAAGCGTTCGATGCCAACAAATTATACCATCATCACAGTAGTTTCTTTTAAGTACTACCTGTGACATCGCAGGATCTGTGGATTCCATCGTCGTAAGCGGAAAAATCGTCGTCTGCACCTTACCGCCTCCGTCGACTGACCCCATTTACGGATCGGATCAGAAGATTACGAGCATTAGCGTGGCACCGCTGCGACGAGTGGGACACGTCAGAACAGAACTCATCGATGAGGTTCAGCGCAAGCGCGACGATGCTGCGCAAGGTATGTGACGGCTCGCGAACGGTACGACAGCGAGATCCACAAAGAGGCGTCCTTTAAGTTGGGTGTCATACTTCTCCGTCAAGTCGACTGGTCGGAGTATGTCAGCAACGCACGCTGAAGCGTCAGCCACAGCAGCAGCGGACCACCGCGACAATAGTCGCCCCAGGCATCGGACAGTAGCTTCTACAATTAATACCGTTTGATCCCGAAAGTATGGAATGGGACATGTGGAAGCGGAAATACCACAGCCAAGTGCTTCTAGAATCTAGGTGTCCAAGGTGTCGTATAACATGCAGTCGTTGTCTTCGTTGGGTTCGGTTACGAATTATGTCGCCTATGAATATGTCAGGAAGTGCTGCGGTGCCCGATGGATTCAGCGCGTAGCATGAGCAGTGAAGGACGGCATTTTAAGCTGAATTCTTCTGTGAGAAAGCGAACTAGAATTTCGTTCCCTTCGATTTTCCTGTTAGGTTTTCTTGACAGCCAAGTCCGAAAAGTAAGCGTAGTCGCATGAAAATATGTGAGAAGGCATACGAGCCCTTGTGTACTGTACCCTTAACCGCGACAGCTATTAACCTAGAAGGGCGACGTATCGAAGCACCGAGAAATTGACACACAGCCGTGGTTATCAAAGTTGAAAGCCCTCAGCATGCGAAACTGTGACCAACACAACTTAAGCGCCCTACCTTTACTACCGAATTTGCGCACCCTGGCTCTTAATGACAACAACCCTCACATGCACGAGTGCACGACTGACTATCCCGTTTGTCGAAATGTGCCCAAACCTGGAAAAACTCTCGCTGGCGGACCACTGGTTCGGAGAGGAGAGTGTTTTCCACTAATAAATGAAATGAAATGAAACTCCAGCATCCATGATGAAACCCCGCTAATGAAACTCCAGCATCTGACGCACCTGGACCTGTTTGGAAATCCTGTATGGCAACGGTATTGACCTCGTCATACTCCACAGTTATTCACCATGGACATTTTTTCAAGCAATTGAAATCTTACAGTGGTTAACGAAATTGTGGATACGTAATTCTGGCTTTTCTAAGGTGCGTACGAATATTTTAACAACATGTCTGTACCGCTCGAGTTGCGCGCATGCGTGTAGGGCTTCCACTCCGCTTTCCCGCTGAACGCCCAGCCCAACCACTCCTTCCCATCAACTTACAGCAACAAGTGTCGATTGCTGCCCCACCGCTTGTCCTGCTCGAACCTATGTGGGATGCTTACCGAGCGTCGTGCCTGTGTTGCCATGTGAAACGGTTTGCCTGAATCACAACCGATTCCAGCTGACGGTGGTGCCCCCGCTAGGGAGTATGGCAGCCTGGTTGGGCTCCTGGTGTGGTTGTTGGTAGATCATGCGATTGGTTGACGCATTTAACGAAGATTTGCTCATGTGGTCCAAAGCTTTGTGTGACTAATGTTTTGTACAAACCATCAAAATGCGCACGACACACCAAATGTGTCGTGCACTCCGCTATTTGCGTGAAAAATTTGCCGGGCGATTTTACGTGGAGCCAGCAATTTTCTCCATTACAACAATCACTCAGAACACATCTAAGCAGGGCGTAACATCAAAACGTTACCTAAAAACGTTACGGAAGACATCAGAAATTTGTTGGACCACTATCTCCAACCCCCCCCCCACCTGAGAGCGAAAGCGCTGATTTCACAGGATTGCCAACGTCGCTGGTCACTTTTGCCGGCCTAGTCTCTTATGACAAAACCGGAAAGTCCGGATTCACTGTGTGCAATCGCGAAGAAGGGCCAACACAAAACGTTTAACGAACAGCTTTCACCCAGTCGTAAATGACATCTCAACAAGTATTCGTTCACGATCCGCCCGGATGCGGCAAAATGATCACGGTTTTATCGCCTTATTTTCTCAAAGAGTTTGTACTCAATAAACTGATTAAAGGATGGAATACAGTTTGAATTCATCTGAACCAGCAAGCCTTCATCCATTCAGTTCTAATTTTTACCATTCCTCCAGTCAATCAAATATTTCGACGTTCGTCCCAACGCTTCGAGAAACAAGAACAAAACCGCGATCAGTCGGAAGTGTGAAAGTGAATGGTCCGACAGGATACCAGCGTAGGATGGCTTGGCTGGCACTGCATACAAACCTCCACGGAAAGAAAGCGAAAGACTGGCCAGAGGGCGACAATGATAGCCGAAAACCAGCAAAGTTTACGGAACGACGACCAGTGTGTTTTGCTTATTGAATCGTTTAAGCCAGACAAGAGACAAATCTTTCGTTTAGGAGGTAGGTCATTTAGCCCTGAAAACTGCAGAACCGATCTGTGGAGTATCGCCCGTGAACACCGTATTCAAACAGCCGCGGCTCAAAGGGGTTGATTGGCAGAAGTCTTACAAACTGATAAAACCACTCGGTGCACTAAACGGCCTGAAAGGAAGCCAGTGAATGAGCTGGCTGACGTGCAAGAGGAAACGCGGTACTATCTTGCTCTCGGTTGGCTGATTTGCCGAGTCGTCCTGTTGTCGGCTGGAAAGAGTAATGTGCTTAGTTCAATCCACGACATTATTGTACTATCCTGCTATCTGAATGAAGTTATAATTATTATTAGCTGAAAACAGGGAGTAAATAACATTAAATTATTCTGTTATAATAAATTTGTTTCCGTCGTCATATCCCGCCCCAAAAATCGGCTTTCGAAATGTTGTTTAAAAACTTTTAAGCGCATGAAAAAATTTAGGCGAGCGCACAGAGAAAACCGGTTGCAATTTCCTGTGCACGAAGCATCGACGCTAAATGAACTATTTGAACGAAGAGGATGGATGTACATGCCCACTATGATTTTTGAACGGTCAGTTAACTATCTAAAAATTCCATCCCAGTAGCTTTCCTTGTCTTCAACAGATTCGGCCGTTGAAACCACCGCATCGTGTCCGTTGAAATTGCAAAATGCAGAACCTCAAGACTTAGACCGTCACTGAGTGCGCGTGCTATACTAAGGCGAATTCTGGAAACCACACAACGCTTAAATAATTCCAGCACGCTGTATTCATCTTTTTTGAGATCGCGCTTTGTGAAGTGAACCCAACTCAAGGCGTCAGTTTGATAGCAGCCGTCAACCTTGCCTGGAGCTTTCGAAACCACTAAAGAACTGAGCGCAGGAAATCCGTTAAACTTTTTTGCTGGTTATAAAGTATATACAGCATCAATGGAAATCCAGGTACTTTGAAAGTTGGCACATATAATTATTATATATAAGCTTGCTGTCGGGAACTACTGCCACCGGTTCCATCCAGTTCTCCAACTGCACAGCCACATCGGATCGAAGGATAACGGGACTCCTCCAAAGCTCCCGCTTATAATCGATGGTAGTTACGAATCTTGCGATCAATATTTTAACGGAAGATTGAAGACTGTTACTCGCATCTAAGACTGTCAATGCGATAACGTGTCCAGTCTTACACACTGCCATGAATTTTATGCCTCAGTATACGTGAGGCCTCTGGCGTATTAATAAAAGATATGCATCCAATAAAAACTAATACAGCAAGAATGGTATTACTATACAAAAATGATCACAGTACTCTGGGTGCTGACATAAATGCATTATCTGGGATTCTTGAGTTAGACGCGTGATTCGACACCGCGGGAACATCTCCATAGCAACCGCCACATACATGTTCGAAACAGCTGCTACAAGGCTGTGCAGCTAATGCTGGGTTGATAACCTGTACTTGAAAACAATGCCGGATAAATAAAAAAATACGGTACGAAGTACGAACAAGCAGGAGGAGTTTTGTAACAAGAGCAGTAATAAAAACGTTGGAACAATAGCGATAAGGAAAATTTGCCGGTGCATAGCACAAAACTCCTGTTACATTCACGGGGACTCTCGCTTCTGCGCGCTCCCATTCACGTTTTTGAATATAGTAAAACCTTCTGTTACGTACACTTCTACGTTACCTACACCTCTGAATTAATTACGAAAAAATTTGCACCGAAGCGCTCCGTAGACGAAAGTACAAGGGGGCTCTATATGGCATAACCTCTGCGATGCGTACACGTATCTGTACCTCCTAAACACTTAACCGTGCGCATCCACCTCGTGATTACGTACACCGGTGCGTTTGTAAAAACGTTTTTCAAAATGGGCGAAAATTCTCGGGCATGTGCAGGCACAATTCTTCGGCGCTACGGATAAATGAAGTACACTATATTTTTAGCCAGCACAAACCTTTATGATCAGTTTGTGAGCCTGTTTATCGAATAACAGATACATGAGCGCGGATAATCTACTCGTATTACGGTACTTTTAAATTAAACTTGCCACAACTTGAATCGAAATTCCACGTAATATCGAGACATTTATTCGGGCAGAAAGTTTTATAGTTGTATACATGTGAGTCGGGTGACAGTATGTAGTAAAATTCTGTATTTGACAGCGATACAGGTTATCCGGATTTTGAATCGCAAAATCGCAGAATCTGAATCGCAGAATCGCAGAGCCGTTGCAAAAGTAATTTTACTAACAGCTTATTTTTAGCTACATTCGCAAGCGGTGGGTGTAAAAATATGAAAATAAAGCGAAGAGAAAGGCAAATTATTATTTTGACGCTAACACGCTTATCTAAGTCAAGCTGCCATACGGTTTTTAACAGCACCGCTTAGTCAGCGTTTCCATTCTATAATGCTTGGCATTGTCTAAACTCGAAATGAACTTCAGTATGCATGCCTTACAACAGCCATTATTTTCGTGAATTAGTGCAGATAGCAAATCAAATGGTATCACAGCGTTTGCACTGCTGTTAAGACGAGAAGACAATCGGGAACAGTGGCTGGGTTTTCATGACAGCCATATGTCTCATAGCACTTTCCTTAGATTACATTTCTTTGTTTTCTTTATAATGCACAGCATTGCACTCATATCATAGCAAACTGAACTCGTCAAAAATTCCGAATTGCAGCCCCCTCATTCGCACGTCTAGACCTCCGTTTCACGCTATTCTAAGTTTCATACGGTCATAAAACTCAGCTGAATGCGCGAAAGTGCGAAACCACGTATTGTTTTTGTAGGAACTCCATTTTATAATCATCAAGCATGGCGTATTAACGACTTTCAAATAGACAATTCAGTAGTCTTTCAATCATCATGCCGACACTCTTCGTATTGCTGTCGGCCTTTGTTTTACTTACCGGTAACTCCATGTTTGTGTTCAGCAGTTCAGGTGGTTGGCATACCGTTGTGTTTCGAAGTTTCTCATATTTCGGTCAGTTTGCGGATACGTTCTCCTAAACTGCACTATTTTTAACTCAACAGGATCTTCTGTACTGGGACCACAGTGTCCAGGACAGGACTGGCACTATCGCAAAGGCACCAGAGACTGTTATTATATTTTTAACCCCAAAACAACAGGACAGGAAGCGTTTACTGGGCCTCGTGTCGGCACACTGAAATTTCACGAGACGGTGCAGGAATGTCAGATGCGAGGAGGCCAAATTGCAACCTTCAACACGCATGATGAACTGGTACAGAAAAGGACTCCATCCGCGCAGTCGGCAGTGTCATTTTGAGCGGCATTTTGCAGTTCAACTTGAAGCAATAATATGATTTTCGGCTTCTACGATTTAAACTTTTCCATTTAGTTTAATAATTTCTATGTTAACTGCATACCGAATTTCCGAGCCAATACGCAAGCTTTGTCACGTTAATTTAATCTTTTACAGGAATGGATCGAATCCAAAATTACCACTAAAAACGCGAATTTCTGGATCGGACTGACCTTTGAAACGTTAACATGGAGCTGGACCAATGGCAACATTACAAAGCCATACGACGATATCGGACTGTAAGCCGTACATGATCATCGCATCTGCATTGCAAATCAATGTATATTCAAAAAGTTTATAAAGCACTCGCGTGTGACGAATTGCAGAATGCCTCGCCCAACGGATCCAGATGTCGAGGATGTAGAGCGGAGAAAACAGTATCGTGGGGCTCTTACGTACGACGCCTCCTCCAAAGAAATCGTATTCCGCTCACGAGCGGGAGAGTGGACTAACTGCTATATTTGCAAAGGGACCTATAGTAAGACTTCATAATAATATCAAAAGTAAATTGGAGCATGTAGCAACTTCAGGTACACTGTGCCCGCTCCTGGCAGGTTCCCGACCGTGGTGCAGATTGGACAACGGTTGGGTGTACTACGGTGGGAAATGCCTTAAATTTTATCCCCACGGTGCAAGCTTTGCCACTGCTACCGAAACGTGCGAGTAAGGTTGAAGTCGAGCATCTGGTCAAAATCGCATATTTCGGTCACCTCAAGTGCTTCTACGTTTTCATATTTTGGTCACCCGGTGTTAAAATTTTATCAGGAACAAAAATATCAGAAATGAGGTTTTCACAGTAAAACATAGTTTTCATAGTACTTGGTACTTAAAAGCACTTTTCATAGTACTTTTACATCAATCATGAATTGAAGCATAAACTAAAAAAACTCCCATAAAACCTAAACCAAGAGCGGGAATTGGACCGGGTGCCAGAGCCGCTCTTTCAAGTTTGCAAACTTTAAATTTTTACATTCTAGCATTTTTAAGCTTGTTTTGATGACTAGTGACATAATACACGCACCGCGTGTACTATACTACCAACCTGACCGCAGTCAGCAGAGAAGGAACTCTGGAGATTGGTGTTGTTCCTGTTGCCTACTGCCGTAGATAACAGTGCCAAAAACACACTCTCACCACACTCAGTACCACACTACAGGAATACCAACACAGTAACTTCCGCCTAGGTACACACTACTGCTTTCCCTAAACGAAGGTCACTCACAACACAAACACCAACAGGATCACAATGATGTTACTCACTTTAATCTTATTGATGTTCACTCAACACAAGTCACACACTGACTCAACTCCAACTGGCAGATGCTAGCCGACGACGAAGCGCAGCTTCCGATCGGAGGCTTCCGATAAGTACAGGGATATACTACGTCATCGCTAGTACAACAGGGAACACACGTACAAACGCACAGTAAAGTCATACAACATAATCCCAATTATGTCACTAGTGGTGACACAAGACCAGTGAAAAACGAATCAAACAGCACGTTGTGCGACCAGCAGCTATTCAGGTCGCGCGTCACTTGGGGCACGCCACCGGTCACTTACACCACGTAGGTAATTGACCGGTGGCCAAAATAGGAAACCGTATATTAAAGTGACCGAAATATGAGAAAAATCGAAATATAAGATATATCGTGTGAGCAGCAAGAAATTGCAGGACTGAGAACGGAAATATAGCCGTCGTACGGAGCGATTCGGACGATCGGCGCATGCAAGACTGGTTACGAGATTATGTGGAAGAAGAAAGAAGCTGGATTGGCATCACCATACCGTCCAAGACGGCCAACACCACCGTTAGCGATGTGCGATGGCTGGATGGAACACCCATTATGGACACTCCGGTTAATCACTGGGTGGAATCCAACCTTACCCATATTATCGAGTAAGCAGTATGGGTAGTCAGTGTTCAAGTTCATGCAAAGCCAAACGTAAGAAATGTTTTTATGTACGTAGTGCGTATACAGAAAAGTGAGAGTAAATGGAAAGCTGTACCAATGTGTTTCAGTATGGTATCAAATTCAGTCATAATATTAAAGAAATTTTAATATTTCGACGTTTTCAACGAACCGAATGATTTACGTATATGAATCCCCTGGCTGCATCTACTCTGTACCTTACATGCAATGAGCGAGCTGACTTGCGCCTCAGTTCGTACAGCGAAACTGTTTTGTTCGTTGAACAATGTCGAAGCAGGTTTATTTACGCGTTTTAGATCTTTACCGAATGGAAAACCATACTGCGGTTTACTTCATACGAAAGACAGCGTGTGGAACGATTATTATTATAACTCGGGCGAGGACCCCAGCGAACCCGAAATCCATCAGTGGTCGTTTTCTTCTGACTGTGATCAGCAGCTGCCGTTTATCTGTGAAGCACCACGCGGTAAGTGTCATGATTTGGATTGAAATATTAACGACTTGACATCTTCAGGTTTTCAGGTCCATGTCCATATGGTTGGTATGAATTTGAGGATGACTGCTACAAGTTTGTCCAAGACACACCCGAAAGCTTCCAAAAGGCGCGAGAAAACTGCCACAAGCTGAAGGGTGACTTGGTAACGATCAAAAGGTTGGCCGAAGCTTAATAAAAAAGTTCAATGGGGAAGATTTTCTCCTAATGATGCTTAGTTGAGTACATACTGTAATTCATCACTGTTGTGTTAGTGGCGTCGTGCAAGACTTTATTCAAGCTGTGATCGGAAGTAAAAATATCCAAGAGGACTTGTGGATTGGGTTACGAGGCTAGTACTAGTCACGACTTCCTTTACAGACAAAATGCTTTACAGTTCAGAATTTCACGGCGATTCTAGCGGTACATTCAGAAAAGAATGCGCGATGAAAACCGCGGGAGGAGTAGCATTTTGAAAAACTCACGGGGGTCCCGCGACGGGCCTGACAGCAATAGCTCAGAGTCTCGGCAAAAGAAGGCGCAGAATGTGATGAATTCTAAAAAACAAAAAGGTTCTTTGAAACATAATTAAAAATTATTTGTTTACAGGTGTAAATGGACGCTACAGCTGGATTGATGAATCCAGTTTGAATTACCACGCTTGGAATGAGACGTTGATACCGTCGGAGCTCAGCTTTATCACCGGCTTTGTCTGTGGCTATGCGCAACGCGCTGGATTTGTTTGTACAAAACCTACAGTTGCTGTTTTGTATTTTGACAGCCTCATAAAGTTTGGCTATCATTTTTAGCTAGTGAGACAGGAAAGTGGGCAGTTGCGGCGTGCTCGCAACTGAAAGGTTACATCTGCAAAACGCCGACATCCGCCAGCATCCCGGATGAGCCGGTCGTCCACCGTACGCTTTTTTTATTGTTCCACATTTCCTCTGATAAATATCGTGTTGCTTATAATAAATAAAATAAATACGACCTCTTTTTATTATGTAATACGTTACAACATATAATAAAGGAAGTAATTCATAATACATGATTACGTAGTCTTTTATATCGCAACGCTTATTCTTTGTTATTGTTTAAACTGTGGATGCGATGGACGCGGGTCATATTTTCAGCTGCGACCACTTGCGAGGCACCGTTCTTCCGCTACCAAGACGGCTGTTATTTGCTGGTCAAGGAGCAGAAGAACCGTGATGATGCGCAGCGCCACTGTCTAGAGCACTCGTCAGTGTTGGCTTACCCAAATACTTTTAGCGAGAACGTGTGGATGAAAAGTAAAGCATCGCAAAAGCACATGCTAAGCTATAAAATTAATGAAAACTTTAGAACAAATTATCGAGGATATTTGGCTGGGAATTCGGTGAGAAGGTTCTACGGGAAGCTACCAGGAACATCGCTACAGTGATGGAGAATATGTAGGAAAATGCTAATAATAAAGTTTGCTTGTCAATTATTTATGCTAGAAGTTATAAATTCGATAGTAAAACTGCTTCAGATTGCTCGTAGCACATCGTTTTTTTAAGTGATCGCTTGCAAACTTTTTGTGGTATCTCCTGCTGGCTGATCTTTTTCAGATGCGACCAGGGGATTTTGAAAACTTTTACTATGCATCTTCCCGCGACGACAAGAAGCCGTGTATCGTCATGGCTGGTGAAAATCACCAGGTTTCCCCGCATCCCGGGTCTGGTGTTCCTTTTCTAGGAGAATGGTATTATGCTGCATGCACCGAACAGCGGCAATTCATGTGCTATCATCGCGGAAGTAAGTCTGACTAAATCTTCTCGCTAGTAACTACTGCAGTCACTGTACTGTATAACACTGAATAGTGAATAGTTCTTTCGCAAACGTTAAGAAGTCCTTCTTATTTCCAACAGCGCCCATTGAAAATCCCGACCTCGAGACGGACCATTCGGACCCTTTTTGTGGGGCTGGATGGGTGCGTGAGGGCGATAACTGCTATCATATTAACCTCAATAACCAACGATGGCACCTGGCCAAGCAGACGTGTCAGAACCTGGCTTTCAACGCTGACCTGCTGCACATCACCACTAAAGCAGAACTACAGTTTATTTCCGGTTAGCAGTTGTCACTGCCGATGTTTTATTGGGCAAAGGCCATCAATGTAACAAAAAGTGCATTCGCGTAATACTACTTAAAATGATAGAAATTTAAACGTTAAAAAAACAACCAAAATCGTTATCGCCGTCAAAACTTCCAGGACGCATATTCAAGGTGCCCAAAACAGCAGCAGCGTTTCCTTTCACTACAGCCAGACTAAATCTCTGCTTCAAAAATGCAGTAGAACGAGATTCTCCTGTCACGTCGCGAATCTTTCTGCCAGCGAAACGGATGAGCTCCATGAAATCCGAACCAAATGTGCCAAAGGTTTCGACTGCCAGGGGGAAAAACAGATAACCCATCCTTTCCACGTAGGCGTATGTTGTCACTTGGCAGTATGTACCAGCTTGTACCGTAATTTCAAACACAGTGGCAAACACAGTTCACAGGTTACGCCAAACTACATACTACGCCGCGCCTCGCCACGCTGTTTAAGCTCTATCTGCATTGGGCGCATAATTTTAAAGAATATTATACGAACATAGTATATATTAATATATACAGAATATTATATAGTATTAATAATATATAAATATCGATAAATGATAAATTATGATGAATAACTTTTGTCCTCTACAACTACCTTAACTACTGATAGGATGCGATAGGCGTGGTGAAGTGTCAATCGTTCGCCGCGCAAACTTTGCGCGAAATATGTGCTCTCTGCACCTTTACATTAAGAAATTACGGGACGTTCACTAAGTGATCATGAATTGTAATACTGTTATAAAATAGCCTGACTGTTATACAGTTATAGAATATGGAATAGTATAAGTTATTGCACGCGCGGGCATACTGCATCATGGTTACTGTAAACCTACTGTCCGTAATCTTCTGATTGAGAAAAGTTTCGGGATTCACAGATTTTCTGGCAAATCGATGGCCGTTCTCGGGTCACAAGTACTGGCTTGGACTGTACGCTGACGAAGCGAATCAGTGGCACTGGCCGCCCAGAGATTCTAATAACACCAGACATATTCCACTGGCAGTGACGAACTTCGCTTACGGTATTTACTGGTAGTCCCTTATTTTTGGCTCTCATGATCTCATCGATACTCGCACAGGTTAGCGTGTGAAGGTTTCTTCAATCGGTCTTGACAGGTGAACCAAGGGAAATCGCTCACGGGGAAGGTCCCAGATGCACGTACATGGAGGCATGGAGGTACAGCGGATGGTACGCAACGGCGTGCAACGACGAACGTCTTCGGTTCGTCTGCAAAAAGACGCTCCAAAACGGTACGTACAGTACAGTACTTTCCACGCTTAGTCGCCATCCTTAACGCTCTCGCTGCTGGCGATTTACGCGCACTGATTGTCCATGTTGTAAACTGCTTGTGGGTTTTTATTTTTATTTTTGAACGACGGATCGAATGACCAGTGACCACTTTTTTACTTCCACTAGTGCTTTGTAAAATTTGTACTTATTTTTTGACAAGAGTAACCATAACTTGCGCCGGTTTATTCGGCAACGCCAGTCAGTGCCACTGCTCAGATTTCCACTACTGATCATGATTGTATTTTAAATAATTCAAAAACATCGAAAATTACCGCAACGCTAATTGTGTCTCTAAAGGTCAAGGCCAAAGCTGCCCATCAGGCTGGCTGGACTACAACGGTCGCTGCGTCCGTTTTGTACCTGGTCCGCGAGATTGGCTGGCTGCGAAAGAAGATTGTCGTGTTAGTGGAGGTCACCTGGTCACTGTCCGTAACCATATGGAACTGGTTTTCACCAGCCACTTGGGAGTCGGTGCATGGACTGGCCTGAATGCCATAGCTGATCCTGGCCCACAGACGTCAAGCTCGGAATGGGATTGGGCCCCGGGTTTTCGTTTGGAGCAGTGAAAAGCCCGTCACTTATACGCCTTGGGATTCCACACCAGTATCCGGAGGAGTTATCGGAGGTGCAATCAACGACGCCAACTGCGTCGCGCTCACCTCAACGGTAAAATAACACAATTCTGCGCTTTCCGCGATCTCAAATTTCCAATAGTAATAGATAGATATCCAAAAAATTAATTGAAATTTCGTAGGGTTTCGCGGCATATTCTTGTCACGAAAAGAGATCCTACATCTGCGAACGTCCGTTATAGTTTACAAGCCTTATCGACCTTGTGGCGAGTGTTTAACACGTTTTATGGTCTGATTAGTGTGACGAATGTTGTCTTTCACAATTTATTCATTTGTAACAGCAAAGTACAAGCGCGGGTGGAATTCAAAATATTCTTTTAAACGCCGACAGCACGCGAATCGTTGAACTGTACTGGTGCACACTGCACCCGCAGTTGCGTACCTTATTTCTTCCTAAGTTTGATTTCAGTTGTTGCGCGCCATATGCGCTATACAGGTATAGATCATACACTTTTGTGGCTGCATTAATTCTAGTTTTTGTTAAGATTAAAGTATTAGAATAAAGCTTATCGCCAGAGTTGCAGTTCTCGCTTCTTCTACAAGTCTGTAGATGTATGGACTTCGACGTTGTATTATTGTCCTGCTCTATAATTATTAATTCTGAGGTATCTATACCGGTAGGGTTGATGGTGCGTGTGAATGTATGATTAAGCTACAGTACTGTTGAGTATAAATAAAGGTAGTTAGGTAGCAGTTATTAGCTACACATACTGTACGAGTGTTAAGATTCGGAGCTTCCGCTACCGATAAACTTGAACTTTTACGATGCGGCTTTTCCGGGGTTACATACTATACTCTAATGATAGATTTGAAGTAAACGCTCGATTTTACACGTGCATCACACGTTCACGTACAGCGTACGTACAGCAGGGAATCGTTTAAATTCAACGCTTTGCCAACTCCAATCTTGGTGTGTGAAACAGCACAAACAGCAATCATACGGAGTGCAAAAGATTGATTACAAAGCCGCACATCGTACATGAAATGGTTGACTTCGGAACCGGCTCTGGCAATTCTCTTCCCTATTTTCCATGTTTGGCTGAACGGCTGAAAATGGGATTCAAAGGCAGCGGCAGGACGTTCAAGCCGGGATAGCCGTACACATTGCACGCCGCTCGTGTCCTTGACGCATACGGTCGTCCACCACCATCCAGCAGCAGGAACGCTGATGTCGTGGTATGCTACTATAGCCACTACAAGGAGGGAGATCATTCGCGGGAGATTCTCCTCCAAACGCTACTGTAATTTGCCCAGGGGGCGTCTTCTGCGACGACGAATGCAGTTACGGAAATGGCTATACTCTTTCGATATTGAAAGCTGCGGTCATCCCAGTCGTTTCCTGCGCAGATATAAGCGACAAGGAGGTTACGGCCCGTCTCGGAGGGAACAACTAACCAATCGTGATTGTGTCAGCGTGTCAGCAGCAGAGCGCCAGTTAATGTGGAATCCGACGGGAGAATGCAACTCGACGTGACACCTCCGAAGAGCGCCTACGTGATGAGTGTTAGAGTTTTGTATAAAAACAATCCGTGGTGGACAAAATATTTCCCTGTCTACGCCGAAGCATCACCCAGCGGCAGTTTTCTTGATATCAGCCGAATTTCCGCAGAATTGCATAAGGGTACAGTGGCTGAGTTTGGCTTCAGTACCACGTCAAGAACCAACGAATCTGTTCATATTGTGGTACGTTATACACAAATGCAGCTATTTCCCAAATCGTGTACTGAAATACTTCAGGTTCTATCCAGCTGGAATGCGAGCTTCTTATGGAGCGATACCATCACGGGTAAAGGCCAGTACTTAAAGGTCAACGTTCCCATTGGAAAAGCGATGGGGTTGACCGGACGTCTCAATGCGTATTATTTACGAGAATGATGATGGTGCACTTGTCGGAAATTCCATTTCGCTTTTGGTGGAGATGGACTCCACAATCCCATTGATTGTAAGCTAGTTACAGATTTTAAAGCTGTATACTTTATTGTTTTTCTCAGCGACATAGCAGTCAGTCATTCCACTACGGCCAGTACTGCAATTACAGTACTGCCAGTACTGCAGTTACAGATTTATTGCGCATTAGTATTGTCATAGAAATCTTTGCGGAACAGATTAGTCGACCGGCATCCATCAAAAGTAGCGTGTTGCATGGGCCAGGCGAAGAAATCATTATACAGACCCACACCAGTCCTTCAGCTATGGTAGCATTCGTCGCAGTGGATGCGCGATCTTTACCCAGCGACAAAATATCTTCGGATGATGTATGTTTATTACCGAATTTCATTGGCTGTGAACAATGACTATTGTCACTTGCATACGGTTGCAGGAAAAATATGAACCCTTCTTCCAAAATCCTTATATTATGCGCCGATGGGGAAAAACTTTACAATCTTAACAAACAGAGCCTTAATCTACCTGGTTAAAAGGGCTAAATGATCGGTCCTTCGCGTAAAGTGATAGTATTAACCCGGCTACTTGTAGGCATTAGTTAGCGCCGGCCCGGTGCAGCATTTTATCACGACGAATGTCAACGATTCTTCTTCCTTTGTGACCAATGCCTACAAGTCATACGCTCGAGCGTCCGAAAGGCGTTTGTGCTCCAGCCGCTATGCTGAGCATACAACGGACTGTTCCACTTATTTGACTTATTATCCCTCCTTCCCGCGCTTGTACGATGAGGATGATGGCGATGTCGGTAGGGCTTATGGGACGTCTACATTCGCATCGTGGCACTATAATACTGCTGCCAAAAGTGGAAACCGTGATGTGGAAAAACAGCAAACTGGTCATTGGAGCGGCAACGTCCAGCGGAGTTTCTTGATCGAAACCGCTTTTGCGGAGTAAGTGGAGCTGGACATTCGTTCTGCTAAAGCATGAGCTACCCAAATTTATCAAAACTCCTCTAATATCGGTGAAACCCAAAACTTTTTGTTACGGAAAGAACATTTCGCTTTTCTAAATGTGCATATCGATCGATTAGGTTCTGTGATAGATCAACAGTAAAATTTTACAGCGCCGACGGAAATGTCGTGTTGCACCGCAAATTACCCGATACGGCTACAACATGGTTCATCCAAGCTTTTAGCCTGAGCAACACCAGCGGTTTAGCGGCTTCTAAGCTGGTTAAGGTACATCAGTTGGTTTGCTAAAAAATCTAAAAAGTATTGTTGTAATTGTCCTACAAAAGTCTCTCCCTGTAGCTGAAAGCATCCAGCCAGTTCTTCGTCGCCGCAAACCTGCCATTTGGCATTATTTGCAACGAGATCCTCACCGTCAAAGTCATCGTCTTCAATTACATGTCCCAACAACAGAACGTTACGGTTACGCTGAAACTTTGTCATCCTGATAACACAACGGAAACGGACATTCGAACAGTGTTCTGCACACCGAACCAACCTTCCGCAACAGTTTTTGCCGTCCTGTCGGAACAAACCGGTGACCTAAGCTTGGAAGTCACAGCTGAGTGCGAATTGGCATTGCACAGAACTGAGAAAGTGTTGCCGGTAAAATCGGAATTCATTTATCCGAGTAAAACTAACGACATTCCCGGATCACAGTCATCGGATGATGCGAGTATGTCCCAACACAGACTGCGGCGTTTGATGTTAATGTTTCCTGCAGCATTGTTTCTGCTAAAGAAACCCGCCTAAGCGTCTGCACAAGGTGACTGGATGTCCGTTACCGTGTAGCATTGTAAAATAATCTTGACGGGTATTTTTCAAATATTGCAGTTATCTGGAAAAAGGTGCAAGTAAAATGGCTGTTATGGAGATCAATGCGGCTGTCTGGTTACCAGTTTAATCCGGAAGAAACTCGTCTCCTTCCGCGCACGGTGGCTTCACTGCTGAAGGGCTACTTGGACAACAAGAACAGCAGTGTCAACCTGGTTTTCAATGATTACTTAATAATCCGTTTTTTTACTAGTAACTGTTGCACAAAAAACATCTTGTTAGATGATAAAGCAAAGCAATTATTTCGCTACGCTTTACTGAATCCACCATTCCGGGAGACGTTGTAATTACACAGTAGTCCTTGCCATTGCTTTTGCGAATCTGCGATTATTGTTCCTGGTTTATTTTATAGACTGCACCGAATGCCAACTGTTTCGCTGTAACTATGTACCGCATCTATACAGTGGACAATCCGAAGCAACAAACCGTTTCCGTCTACCACTACCGCAATCCTGAAGAGCATACAACCATATTCTATGGGCCGACAATTTAGTATAAATTCGTCAGCACACGGTTCTGCTTAGGACATATTCTGTATGTGCCGTTTTTCAAGTTTTCTCGTTTTGACCGTGAATTCTTTAAATGATCTGTTCTGCCGTCCGTCGTAAAAGCCCATTTTTCTGGTAATCCCCATGGTTGCTTCTTGTTACCCTGTGCGCAGCGCCGCTTTGTCGTTTTTTTTTTGTTAACTGCGACCTAACGAAATATAGACTTAGCATACAATAAAATAAATAAATACATTAACCTTGCTACAATACTTGCCAAGCCTCGTTAACTTGAACGAGACGTGTAAAGTGAACTAAATAATTAGTCGTACTTTGTTGTAATTTGTAATTGTAATCAATAGTAACAGTCCGACAAAAAAAAGAAAATATAAGAAGAAATTACTGTACTACTAGCACTTTAAAATAGACTGTTTCGCTTAACACTGAATTCGTGGATTAGTTAATTAAGGAATGATAATCCATTAGCTTATTAAGGGTACTATACTACTATAGCACACTACGTCGGGCACACTACGTCGCAATTAAAATTTAAACATTAAAAAACAACCAAAATCTTTATCTTCCCGGGGATCATGTCACTTGGGTCAAGCACACAGAGGGCCTAAAATACATGGGGAACAGCAGTATCCAAGTTGTCAGTTACACAGGGAGCTGCTGCTAACTGCATGGGGTGAGTGAATAATTTGTTATAAAAAATTGTCAAAATGTGTACGACTCACTCGTACTTCTATTGGAAGCGACTTCAAGCGAGCAATTATTACGCACCGTTGTAGTGCACAAAACTACAGATTCCGCATTGCACAAACATCTCAGTCTCGTTGTTCTATCGCATAATCAAACAAAACTAGGCTGGCTCTGCGCTGAATCAGACAGGCGTGAAGGCAGTGGCACATATACCTGAAACGACTGTGAGAAAGTACGGCAGGCCAACATCTGTCTGTAAGCTAGAAATGGAACAGTCTCACTCTCAAGCTCAATATGCTGAGAAGAGGCAGGCGATTTGCGGTGGATTCCGCGTTAAATTGCGATATAGAGAGGAGCAAAAGGTCAGAGAGCATGCTATTGTTCAGTGACCTGCATTAATTAGAGCTCAGCCGTATAGAGTTGAACCTCAATCGAGTTGAGCATCAATTCAACTCCAATACGGCGGCATTCCAGAGTTTCTCTCACTGAATTCTGCCTGCAATAACACGTTAGCGAAAAGCGCTCACCCTCATCGCTGCCATTAACACACAACTTTAGACAATTTGAAATTGACAATCAGTTTAGTGATTGTCGCAAAATTGTTGAAGTCTAGAATTAGGTCTTTTATTTAATTATCGTGTGAAAATGGGTGCCCAAACATCACACTGCACTCTGCCGAGCCGAGAAATGGGTTTTCTGAATTTTGTAATCGTCCAGCGGGAAAATGGTGATTGGTGGCTGGGCCGCATCAAGGACATTGACGGCGAGGAATATTACATCGATTTCATGTCAACCACGGCTGCCGCGTGCTGGATACATTCCCGCCATATTTGGCCGTACCGTAATGCCTCCTTCACAACCCGGCAACAGAAAACGGGATCGGGTGTGCATGATGCCCCACCAGTATTTAACGTCGCCATGCGCGACACCGAGCATGGTCCGTACGTGATCCGTTCCGGTCAACTGATTCGTGTACCCGGTTGCTATTATTATTTCCCACTGGATGATCACCTCGACACATCCGGTGCGGCTCAGGGCAAAGTGGTGCTTGACTGTCAGCTAATCCATCCTCCATCGCAGAGCGAACTGTCCTTCTACGAGAAAGGCAATGGATTTGTCTGGACCAAACATGTCGTTCCTTTTAATAGAGCGGGCTGGGTTCAGACAGCCGACCTGCCCAAACTGAAGACTTGTATGGAGTACAGCGTTAAGTACTGTTTTCAGGGTTTTGGCAGCTTTGCGGACACAACTGCAATCCAGCGGATTTTTATACGAGCCGATACCAACACGGTGACTTTCATCTTTTGCGAGCGGTACAATCATGGGAAGTTACTAAGCGATGCATGGTTGCACGACGGCCTTGAACGGTTCGCTAAAACTCATCTCGATCAGCCTACCATAGTACGCTTGCAAGCTGCGAGCCCACCGCCCGTTCTATTCGAGACAAGTAAGATCATAGATGCAACTTTGTGTGAGTTTACAGCATAAGTTTATCGTCGGACGTTTTGCCTGTAAAATGTCCAAAACATCCGGGGTCAGCTAAAACGTCCGTCGTCAGTTTTGTCCAGGCAGCATTCTATGTTTTCGATCTGACGCCGGCGCCTAAATTACTACACGGGCGTTTTGGTCGGATCCGTAACCAGATGATTAAGTTACTAAATTAGCAACCAAGATTTTGCACTCGGACTTAAATATCAGGTTACGCATTTATCACTTCCGAAAGAAGCGTCCGCATACGAATTTGTACTCCGGTAGAAACATTCTGAGCCATTCTGAGCAGCCTTGAACAGCTTGAAATTCGGCAGAATTGCGGTCATAAATTTATGCCGCGACAGGAAAGCGCACTCTGACATGCACTTTTTTCCGAAAATGCATGTAAAGCTGAGAGGATAAAATTAACGGCGAACGTCTTGATGGCACCTGGACGTTGTGGTTGGTCTAAGCTCCAAAACGTCCGACGAAGGTTTTTGCCATTCCGCCTTGGTCGGAATGATTACATTCCGGACACTTTTACGACACGGATTCCCGTACCGGACACCTGAGATAGGACTGCTCTTACATTAGAAATTTGATAATTTTTGTAAATCTCGTGTACCAACTTGTTTAAAAACAACAATTATCACGGAAGATTTTGCCATCTGGAAGAACGCGGAGGATGCTGTGCCTCTGGTGTTCGATACACTAAAACATATTGTGAAATGTCCGGAATGCGATAGACCCAGAAGTAGTGCATACACCTTTATCCCTGTTTGCGACAAAGCTTCTCGATAGAAAATTTTATTAATGATATTGATGAATTAGTTTATACTAAGCAAAACGGATAATGTATGTTTTGAAGGATCCATAAACGATCTTCCAGTGCCCCTTCTACAAGTTATTCTCGAAAGTCTGGACATAATTTCCCGATTTGCTGCAAAAAGGTACGTTAAAGTAACCTGTTTGTTTTGTAAAGCGTCATTTGCTTACTTCCTGAATGCAAAGGTCAAACGTACACTAGTTTCCGATACTCGATTTCGTATTGTTCTTGGGCGTAAGTAGTGGTAACATAAGCTACCAGGGAAATGGTTCTGAAATAAAAGTTTTTCAAACAGGCTAGTTGATTATGCTTTCCTTTAACACAAAATAGGTAAAGTTACTGTACTTGAGTTAGTTCATGCGTATGTCATTCGGAGATTGACCACAGAAAAGAATTATTTAGTTATTGGCCATCTTTTCATGTGGCTGCGACAGGCTGTCATTGCTCAGGACAGAAGAAGGAGAACCAAATCGGTAAAACGGTTCCCCTGTACAGTACTGCTGCTGCCAGCTGGAGTGTAAGGTTGTAACTCAACATGGCGTTTATGTACGGCGCCAGATTTAACCATATGTATTGCCGCAATATCACACTTCAGCTGGCTGACATCATAATTACAGGAAGCCGTGTTGCCGGTTTAGTTTTTCCCAGTCTTTATTTAATGATGGGGATAAAATGACAAAATGCAAACATATACAGCTGTTTAAAACCAGCATCTGCAAACCAATTTGCCCTAGTGACCTTTTGGGTTAATTTTCAGTGTGTGCTCATTCTGGCACTCGATCTTTGATCGTCCAGTTGTTAACCGGCACGTTATTGTGGAAGCGTCAAATGTCCCAGTGGATGTACCGCGTGCAACCTCACCGCCGGATCTGGTAACGGAACAGGCAAATCAGCGTAACTCCTATAAATTCGCAGTGCTGCTGGAGAAATCCATCACGATCTTCACGCGCACCATCAGCTGCATCAATGAAGAGGACAATAACGGGAGTATCATGACAGTGTCGACACTCACACACAGTACCGTGGCCGAAATTGTCGCACAAGTGCTCAACCTGAAGGGAATCGTACTGGACATATTGCTGATTAAAGGTGGTCCTAACGTGGTGGTTCACATTTCGTTCGACGTCGGAGTCAACTCCACGTACAGCTGCACATGTCCCAGTCTAGCGGCGCTTCTGCCAGTGTGTCGTCAGCTGGTCGTGCTGAAGCGAAAGTTTGGGTGTGAAATGCATGATCAAAAATGCTTTGAGGAATATAAGCGGGACGCTCTGTGTCGTAAACTGGCTTGGAATAGCACAGTCCTCAAATGGTTTATGAGGACGGCAGTACGCTGTTTAGCGGTACCGGGTAACGTTTCCGAAGCGCAGTTAATCGGAACGATTTTACGTGCTATGGAGAATGCATCTCCATCACTGGACCCCGCATTTACCAGTTCAGTCCGCGCTACGCATCCACGGATCCTGCGGACCTTGGCGCATCCCCGCACGGACTGGGGTTTTCTCCAGATTATTTTACAAGTGTAAGCAGCGCCAGAATATTGTGAGAAAAATCTCATCACCATAAGACCATGCGTTTTGTAGGTACAATGAATTTCGCGCGGAGGGATCAATGATAAAGTGGGACAATGTGGATTTTGGGCAGCTAGATGTGTCCCAACTAGCCAAACAGGCCATCCGCGTTCTGGCTCTTCTTTATAAAGAAATTGGCTCGTACAGGACAAACAATGATTAGCAGACTGCATGGTTAAATTACCATTGATCCTTCACAATCAAGGCCATGGTTAAATGAATATTACTAAACTTTCCACTGATAGATCAACTTCTTGCACGTCCGTATAACTGTTTTGTACTAAGCGTTATGCGTTGATTTGTGACAGCAGTTAGTAATCGTAATTCGCTGTGTATATCTGCACCGCTTAATTCGATTATGGATAAAATAAACTTTAATGAGTTTTACGTGTTTGGCATCTCGTATACGCTGGATAGTTGATGCAGTCGGCTGATATTGTGGGTTTTCTTGCTTGTTATTAAATAAATTATCCTCAGCAACGCGATTGTTCGAAGGTCATCAACCTTTCTTGAAAGAACACCAACCTTTCTCTCTAAATTATCAAAGGCGACCCAAATCTGATTAAACGTTCTAATGAAAATTTAAATAAGCTCCGCTAGAACATTTCCAACTCCCAGGATAAAACTTTTTGCCAA